AATGAATGGCCAGATTTTAAGAAAAGCATTTATGAGAACCCAACACATACTTTAAACTGTCTCAAGCTTGCTATTCATCAGGTATTTTTTAAATGATTTTACATACACAAAAGATGTACTTACCTAATACATACAAATTTCTATTCTTTCAGAAAATACTAAATACAATACCAAAAGAAATTTTACAATGTTGTATGAATATGATAAGTACACTTTCAACTGTCAGATTAAAAATACTAAATTATCAACCCTTTGTATGCCTGCAGGATTTGAAAACAAATTCTTATGGTCAGTATTTAACATTGTTAATATTTGAAACTTTTCGTATTAACATACCTAAATTTTCTTAATAGGAAGACTGATATCTGTTAAAGGCTGTGTTATAAGAGTAGGTCGTGTAAAACATCTTGCAGAATGGATAGTATTTGTCTGTCGCAAATGTAATTTACAGAAAGTAGTAAAACAACCACAAGGAATGTACACAGTACCAAAAAAATGTAATATATGTGGTATATCTAAATTTCGTCCACTGCTAAGTTCTCCACAAGTGAAAAGTATTTCTTTCCAAATGATTAAGATACAAGAACTTTTGAATGATGAACAGGTACCTAATTTTATTATCAAAATATATTTACACATGTAATTCGTTTTCAATCTTATTAAAAACGGCACACAAGAATGAGATATATTTGTTTTTTATACTGTAGAATAATAAAGGAAGCATGCCTAGAGTACTTGATGTCGAATTGACAGATAATTTGGTCAGTACTTGTATGCCTGGAGATGATATTACTTTGACAGGAATCATAAAGGTACATAATACAATTATTACGTATATGTCCCATTTACAAAAATTTGTAGAACATCTATTAAAATTTAATAATTGTTAATGTTTGTTTCATAGGGTACTAATAATATTAATGCACGTAATAAAATATCATTTGCATTATACATGGAAGCTATTACAATAATGAATAATAAACAGAGATTTCAAACTAAAAATGTTATGAATAATGAAATGTCAATAAAGGACTATTTGGCAATAAAGGTACAAATAATATTAATATATTATTTACTATAAGTAGAGAAGTCATGTATTGAAGTGATGTAATGTTTATGTTTTTGTAAAGGAAGTATATAATACACCAAATATTTTTCCATTGTTGGTACATTCTCTTTGTCCGAGCATATATGGTCATGAAATGATCAAAGCTGGGTTGACATTAAGTTTATTTGGTGGAAATACGGAGCATGCAGAATTACGAGATAATATACACATTTTAGTAGTCGGTGATCCTGGTCTTGGGAAATCTCAAATGTTGCAAGCATGTTCACGAATTGCTACTAAAGGTATAAGTTCATCTTTTTCTTTTTGTATATTGCTAAACATTATTAAATAATTATGTTTAAAGGGGTGTACGTATGTGGAAACTCGAGCACATCATCAGGATTGACAATAACACTTACAAAGGAAAATAAAAGTAACAACTTTGCTCTAGAACCAGGTGCATTAGTTTTAGCAGATAGGGGTTGCTGTTGTATCGACGAATTTGATAAAATGTCTAAGCAACATTCGGTAATTTTGTTAATGTCACTGTGTTCGAAATTAAATTATTTATTATTTTCTGTTAATTTATGATGACAAGAAGTATTTGTTTAATTGTAGGCTTTATTGGAATCTATGGAACAGCAAAGTGTAAGCGTTGCTAAATCAGGAGTAATTTGTTCATTACCCTCAAGAACTTCAATTCTTGCAGCTGCTAATCCAATTGGTGGCCGATTTAACAAAAATAAAACAGTAATACAAAACTTGAAAATGAGTCCACCTCTTTTATCACGTTTTGATCTAATTTTTTTATTGTTAGATGAACCAAATAAGGTACATATTAATAATCATATTTTTAAAAAATTATCTGACAAAAACCAGTTTCACTGTAGTATGTATTTCATTATACAAAAATACGTAATATATGTTTTATTTGCAAAAGCATATAGATGATTTACTATGCAAGCATGTTATGTCTATTCATACTGGGACCAATACCAAAAAAAAAAAAGTAAATGTTTCACAACATACAGACATAATGGATGAAAATAGGTTGACATTAAGGTATTAAAAATCAAGTTTACTGCAATAACTATTATTAAAGAATTCATTTATTTAAATCATAACTAAATTTTCAGAGAGAAACTTGCATCTTCTATAACAGAAAATGTTTGTCCTATTCCTCAATCAATTCTCAGAAAGTATATTTTATACGCACGACAATATGTTAAACCAACACTTACTAAAGAAGCGGCTACACTACTACAAAATTATTATTTAGAGCTTCGAAAAAGCAATAATAAATTCAGTGGTATATCTGTATATAATAGACAGTTGGAAGCTATGATAAGATTAACTGAGGTGCAGTTTTCAGATGTTAATGTAAATTTTATATCTTTAATTCATTATATAAGTAGATAAAGTTAATATTATTATGCAGGCCAGAGCAAAATTGGAGTTACGTACTGAAGCAACTGAAACAGATGCTTTGGAAGTGATCGAAATTCTACGATATACATTTGATAATAGTGCTGTTAGTTGGTCGTCATTAAATAATAAAAAAGGAACTGATAGAAATGTAAGTAAATTAGTTCGTCTATATTACTGGAGGTTGTCACACTAATAATGAATATTTCTTTTGAAGTTCAAAGAATTTATACAATTATTGAAGAAGGAAACATTTTCCTCTAACAATCAAACATTTTCTACAAGAGAACTACGTGAAATCGCACTAGATGGAAAGGTTTCAACAGATGATTTCTCTCGATTGATCTCGAAACTAAATGAAAGTGGAATCTTATTAAAAACTGGAAATAACACTTTCAAATTTATTCCTGACTAGCAGTGTCCTATAATTCTGTAATGAAATAAGCATGAAAATTAAATTGATATTCATTATAATGTTGTTTGCTAAAATTAAACGTTATTAGTGTTTATGTTTCCATTCGCTTGGACTTTTTTACATTCTTATAAATCAGACAGAAGAATATAATAATGAAGTGTGGTCTCTTAATTATGTTTTCTTGATATTGTATTTTTCGAACCATTCATTTTTGTGATGTGTTACAATAAAATCATGTTATAATTTGTTGTCACGTCAAAATGTCTTTTACACTTCGAAACAATCTGCTTTACATGGTAAACGCCAATACATATAAAGGCAGCATTTTGGGCCTGGAACATGAAAACAACAGGGCTTGCAGCATGGTCCTTTGGGTATATATATTTTTGGTTGAGGAACAGGTGGAGGAGGTATTGTTATCTTGCATCTGTTTAATAGAATTATTGTACATTATATATTAATTTATCATAATGTCATATAAATTATTTATTCTAATTTATTACTAATCTTTATGTAATATACAGTTAATAAATCGTTCCTAAAACAATGGACACATTGTACTCTTTAGTAGAGAATATCTGTAATTAATTCAATATTCTTTTCGTAGTCATATTTTAATCAAATATATTTAAATCAATGACTACAGTTATTGCTGTAATGTTTTAATTAAACATATTTAACTTACTGATTCAAGTATGTTACATATTATAATGCAAGAAAAGATTGTCTAAAGCCATCAAAGTAAGTATACACGACA